ATTGGACAGATTTAGGTTCCTAAAGTAAAAATACTGGCTACCCCTCAGCAGACACACCTGTGGTATCAATTTGAAGCTCCTCTGCTGCCTCACTCTCGCATGTACAAACTAAGGTGTCCACGCGCGCCCGGCTGGCGGGGTAATCACAGTACCCGTCGGCCTTTTACAGGTGAGGAGTAGACACAGATCTAGCACTTTCTTTCCCTGCCGTGTGTGTTTTTACCTCAGCAGTGTTTGGTAAAGGTGTGGATTGCAGCGCGTTGATGCTCTTCTGCAGCAGGCTGATGACGTCCTCACACTGACGGCTCAGCTGCTCCAGTCTCTGAGGGACAAACACACATTTTCATTGTGTGAATCGTTTCTAAAGCCGCACACTTAAACTCACTTATGAAAGAAGAAAAGAAGCTTTAAATAGTCAACTGGAAGGTGAATAAAAGCTTCCACTCTACAACACAAACCTCATGTGATTAGCACCCCAGGAATGTGGGACAACCTGTCCAATTATGTTTTAATGAAGCATGCAACGTTTCAAAGCGTTTCAGCTGCAGAAAAGCAAAGAGGAGCTGTGAAAGTCCAGAATCAGACACGCCTCACCTGCACCAGCGAGCAGGGATTAACCTGTGCTGACTGATTTGGGTTTGTCGTGACACTGTGAGACGTCTGTCCAACACGCGTCAGTACAAACATACTCATGTGGGTGAAACAGTTTTCTGATGACTACAAATCATCAAAACACTTAAGAAAGGTTTGACGTTGTTCTAACTAACAGACTTCACCGCGTTCGTGTGTTTCACTGTTACACGTCTGCCTTATTGTTTCTTTTTGATTGTTCGTTTTAATCTGTGTGCGAGTTTTACACTGACCAATCTGAAGCTGACCCAGCTGCTCTGACTGAAGCTGAAGGATCCTCCAAACTCCACGGGAAGCTGTCGGAGCTCCACGTGTTTCTGGACAGACTTCGGAGAGCTCAGCACCTCCACCTGCACAACAGAAACATCGACGCACACTTTAAAACATACATTCACACAAAGGTGTTTGTGAGCAGCTGCGGTGTAAAGTGTTACCTGTGTAGCTGCAGGTTTGTCCACACGCAGAGATGAGTCCTTGTTAGCAAGGATCAAAACACCGTGGATGGAGCCTGGTGTGTCCTCCTGCTCACACACACAGAGACACACACACACACACACATCAGTTTCTCTGGTGATCAGCACAAAGTTTCCATCAATAAGCAGTTTTTCATGTATTTAGAACAAGAACCAATTGACCACATTTTCAGAGAAAACCACTAAAACCAGAATTAAACTAATAAAATACATCAGGAAACAAGACCGTTCTTAAAACGGGGCTAAAAACTGGAGTCTGGTTGATTTTCAGGTTGTTCGTCTGCTGGGGGTCGAGCTTTTCAGATGTTCTCCTTTCAGGATTTAAAGTTTGATTAATGCTAATAAATTCAGATAGAAATAGCCTGTGAGTCACTGAAGCCATATATTAAAGAAAAGCACTGGTAGACAAAGAATGCTGTTGTTGATGCGTTATACTCACGACCTCTGACCTCTCTGGGTTCAGTCTGTCAGTGAAACCAGCTGACTGGAACTATACAAAGCTGCCACAGACCGTGTGGGGACTTGTTTCTAATCCATAAACGATACATTTCAAAAGCAGCAGCAGAGCAGTCCTCCAACCACCGCAGTTTGTAACTAACGCCCCCTGTTGGTCACTGACCAATCAGAGCACATCATTAAGGAGCTCAGTTGGCCTCTGTAACCACACTTCTCTCTTCCTAAGTTTTCCAGTGGAGATAAAGTTGTTGTTTTTTTTAAACTACTGACTGTCCCCTCGTTCCTGAAGGTCACTGACGATGTTCAGACCTGGATGCCAGAGGGGAGGACAGA